TGCTATATCCTATGTAAAAAGTGTACTGTGATACCAAGAAGGAGCAAGCCCATGAGTATATAGCTATGTATTGTGAAGAAGAGGGTCTCTGATCTTGAGACGCCAGCAGCCAAATAATGTCTAGAAGAGTAGGCGAAGTAGACGGACCCTAGTAGGGACAAAGATTAAATTGCTGCGAAAACGTCAACAGGTGCCCAAATCCGGCATCCTACTAGTAGGTAAGTGCATGCATTCCGACGGAAAAGAAAGTAAAGCCTTAGGCCACGCGGAGGGATCGCCGCAAAGGCGCCCCGCTGCCCGCCTTTTAGTTCCAAAAGTTGGCCACACTCACTCACCCTTCATCCTCAAGCACCAACGTCATTAACCCCAACCAATTCGCTCCCCTTTGTCCCTCCCCCCACGGAGCCTACAGGCATTCGCGACGGGCGCAAAGGCGGGATGAGTGCAGAGTCACGACACACCCGACGACGACGAGCGAGCCGTGGGAAATGGAGTTTGAGGTCTCATTGGAAAATGAACAACAGTTCTGGGATGGTAAGTGATTTCATAGGGATCTGCGCTCTGTCTTGCGCCGAAATACCTATCTGGGATCAACTCTTTCTCGAAGAGGAACTTGTGCTTTTTACCTTGCCCCATGGCCCTCTACACTTTACAAATTAACTCGGGGTAAATTAACTGACGTATGCGACGTGTTCTTATCAGAGATTCAAGAGATTGTGTCCGCCCTTTGCTCCTCCGAAGACCTCATCGACAATGCTCTGCGATCTTATCTGAATCTGGCGACCAAATACAAAGGTCCGATACTCTATTTCTTGCATCCGAATTTCTTGAAATCCCTTTGCGCTTGCGCCATGCGAGCATGATCTAATACAGAGTTGGACATGGGCTGATAAGATAATACCTGGACGATAACAGATGAATATCTCCAGACTGAGTTGGAGGTTACGAGATGCTCGTACAAGCTGCTTTCATCGAAGATTTTCGCCTCGCATGCGGATTATGTTCGGAGACAAATGATCTACGGTTTATTGCAGGTATGGTCTTGTAGTAGTCATCACGGCTGTATCTGTTTGACACCAGTCGTTAACGGCGGATTGCATAGGACGATGACTCGGATACACTTTGTCTAATTTCGTCTTTCCTTCTCTTTGATGGTCGGCAGAATGAAGTCGCATTACACATGATGAACGAAGAGGGTGCATTTCCACGTTTGCTAGAGCTCCTTCAAGCGCAAAACAGGAAGAAAGAGGTTGAAAGCGATGGAACAGGGCTTCATCGACTTTTTATGGACCTGATATATGAGATGTCAAGAATTCAAAGAATTAAGATAGAAGATCTGGGTGAGTAGTGCCTTTCACCAGCTGGACCCGCCATCAAAAGAAGGGTGTGTTGAAACTAACCATTGTAATGGCCGCAGTTCTCGTGGATGATGAGTTCGTCAAGAGCCTCTTTGACATCATTGAAGAGCTTTCCTATGATTCCAGTGACCCGTACCATTATACAGTAATTCGAGTCTTGGTGAGTGGTGCCTGGTGCTGTTGTCCGAGGGATCATACTCATTATTAGCAGTTGGTTCTAAACGAGCAATTCATGATCTCAGCCCACGATCCCGTGGACGAGAAGAGCTCGACTCCATTGACAAACAAAGTTATCAAAATCTTGTCGATGCATGGTAATCTCTATAAGACGTTTGGCGAGAACATTATTCTTCTTATAAATCGAGAAGGTAGGTGGTATCATTTCAGACTTTCGCCGTATGTGGTATTAACAAAGACAGCCGAAACATCGCTTCAACTTCTCACCCTAAAGCTACTGTACCTGATCTTCACAACGCCCACGACCTTTGAGTACTTCTACACGAATGATCTCCATGTCCTGGTTGATATCCTAATAAGAAATCTTTTGGACCTGCCCGAAGAGGCCTCTGCTTTACGGCACACTTACCTGCGCGTTCTCTACCCATTGCTAGCCCATACCCAATTGAAGACACCGCCACACTACAAACAAGAAGAACTGAAAAGAATGCTCAGTATCCTCGTCCGAGGTCAGCTCTCCAGCAACGAGCTCGATCAGGAGAAAATCATGCATTTCGACGAGGTCGACGAAACGACGAGAAGACTTGTCATCCGATGTGCCACCGTGGACTGGTTGCGAGATGAAGAGCCAGACGCTCAAGTTCCTAAAAACCCCGAGGAAGAAATAATTACATCTTGTCCTACGATCCCCGATGGCTCTCATCCGGAGGCTGAGATAGGTACGCCTTTGGAGCCAACGACCTCACAGCCAATTTCTCCCACGAGCACAGTTGAGAGCTCCCCCGCGACTCTGTCTCCGACCTATCTTGATGAGTCGCCTAAAACAGAAGTACTCAACCAAGCCCAACGCTTGGGTATGCACTTGGAACCTGCATCGTCGTCCTCCCTGAGCGTACAAGAAGTAGCCGCACAGCACGAGAAACCAGGCGTCCTAACGCCGAGCCGCAATAAGGCTCAAACAGCGACAACGGACCGCCCATCCAGCCCCAACAAACCAAAGGTCAAACCGCTACCGCCGAAGTCAAGACGCTGGCGTGGGCGACGCACTACTGGAGACGAAAACGACAAGATCCCCGAAGAGCCAGGGATAGGAACCGGAACCGGAGCAAGCCCAAGCCCAAGTCCCGTCACCCCCTCCACACCATCCATCCCACAAGGTCCCTCCGACAGAAGGAATTCAACAAGCACATCAGGCCTCGTCCCTCCTATCCCAGCTCACGGCCGCCGCTCCGCCTCGAACCCACCCCCAGCGGTCCCCCCACCGAGACGGTCTACCCTCCCAGTAGTCCACCCTCATCATGTCTCCAGTCACTGCACTCCAGTCACGAGCCCGTCCCGACTCCAAATCCAACAGAGCAGCAGCTCCGCCCAAAAGCACGGTCAGAAACCCGAACCACCCAAGACCCGTCGATCGGGCCGACGCAGACCATCCCAGACTGATTCCCCAACCCTAAGTCAAGACGGACATGATGGACACGCCGCACTTCCTGAAGTTCCGAATGAAAAACGCCACGATAATATGACAGTCAGCGTGGAAGAGGCCGTACAGAATGTGTCTCTTAGTTAATTACTTGATCGATTGAGGCCACTGATATGATCAATTGACTAATCCATTGCATAAGCATTCATAGGCATAGGCATGGCGCTGTTTCCTTCCATGGTTGTTTTCCTTCCAGCTCGGGTGTATGGAGTACCGTTCCTTACTTGGTTGCATTGATATACAATAGTAATAGCATAGCGCTAGAATACTAGAGATTGTCATATTGTTTACTGCATTTGTTTCTCTCTTCCGTTACAGAGAACTAAAAAAAGGATAGAAGCATTCATTTATACCAAGCTCTTATATTTGTTAATAGATCGCGACAGCATCTAATACCAATGCACACCATCCAGTTTAGGACAGGATTCGCCCACGGCCCTGGAGCTTCCGCAAACGAGTTTTTGACTGCTTGTAGCCAGATAAAGTCGGAGCTTTTCTTTCTTTCCTGTCTAAGATACACATGGAAGGAGGTTAAGTCATAGGTTAGATATGAACGACTTGTCAGATATGGCAACATTCACGAAAGGGGATATCCTATACTGGATACCACACAATTATGTACAAGTGACAGTGATCTGAAAACCTATTCCTCCTTTTTCCCCTTCATGTGGTTATCTAGGTATATTGTAACGCTCAAGCAGCGGACAAGTGAGATCAGCCGCTATAAGTGTAGCGGCAGCCAAGGATAGTCAGAAAGGAAGGTTCTAAGCTTCAAACTTGATATATGTGTATTTGGAACTGGGAGATATACAGGGTTACTCTGGCAGAGATATCACTCCTAGTGCTTACTACTGTTGCCTAGAGTCCCTCCTAAGACTAGAACTATAAAATACATCGATAACGGATGTAAACGGAGTGGTCCGAACAAGGATACCCCATCCAACATGCCCCATAAGCCTGCATTTTGGAGGCGAATTCTCTAGTTTGTTTTGTACTAGCGTATAAATTTGGGGCCGCCTGATTTGATTCTGCATACGTGTAAGTTGAGTCATAGACTAGAATACGACGAACCACCTTGGGCGAAATGCAGAGAGCACCAGTTGTACGACATGATACGACATGATGGTTTATGCACACAACTGGTCTCGAGATCAGATTCTATAAGAGAGGAAGACAGTCCAGGAGAACTGATTATGCCATCACGGATCCGGCTTGCCCCGCCGCATGCTATTACACTACTAAGATGCGTTCCCTGACTCGTGACTATAAACCAGAGGAGAGGCCAGTTATATCAGTGCTTTGAGACGAGGCTTTAGGTTCAACCAGAGGGTGTGGGGGGTGGTGATGATTCTGGTGTATCACAGGCCCATGGGCCATGATAGCCAGGGTAGTATTATTGCATCCACTCTCCTAACATAGGAACTACTGCATCTTGTCTTAAGTCCCCAGAGCGCTAAAGTGGCCAGGGTAACCGTAAAGTGACTTTTTTTGCACTAGAATACTTAAGTAAATACTGCGCGAGACAATAAGTTCCAACCTACCCAGAATTTAGAAGATGCTCAATATGCACATGTTTTCACACTTACATTGTAGCTATTTACTTTATAGAGTCATCACCTATTGTAGGCTCTCTTGGAGGTCACTAAAGCAGCTTGTCAGATTCAGAAGGTCCTAAGAGTTTCAACTAAAGACAGCTACCCATGACCTCAAGCCTCCTTGGCAGGCTCAAAATGGCATCCTCTAGAACGCGTGTATCAGGTTATTCTCAGAGCCCGTGTAAGGGGGTGCCTCTCTAGACTTTGATTGGACATCTAGCTATGCGTTTAGTGTTTGATTTATGACTGTTGAGCCTAGCATGGACAACCCGAGTCTGAAAATACCCGCATTGACAAAACGTAGATACACTCTACAAGCTTTAATTCCTCATGCTAAGAAGGTGTAGGAGCTCAATCGCTATGCTCGTGCTTCATTGTGAAGGTTTAAACGGATTCTTATATGTACAGGATAATTGTACGTGTACGTTGCACAGCACATGACAACAAGTAGATACCAGGAAAGAGAGGGGCGTAGCGAGAGAAAGACACAGACCACGCCCAGCGCAATCAATGTCAGCCATCACACCATGGAAGCCAAGAACCCGAGACACTCGGGGATAAGAAGCAAGTAGAAATAGACAGAAGCGCTCAACGCCTCATAATACCCCAGAATTTCTCAGCGCCGTAAGTCCCTGGCTCATCTTGTTTCCAGAGATCATCGAAGGCCGAGAAAAGCACCATATCCTCCTTTCGATCCCGGAACGAGTACCCCAGGGCATAGAGAGCGATGGCCTGGTTCCAGGCAGAGGGGACAGCTTTACCATTTGCTTGGCCGCGGTTAGGCCAGCCGGATTCTGCAATCACGGTGCGTTTCCCGCCCGCTGCAGCCGAGATACGGTTCGCCTGTTCGAGGGCGTATTTTCCCGCGTTGTCGGGGGTTTGGTTGGCGTCGAAGAAGGCGTGGCAATTGGCTGCGCAGTAATCGGACGCTTCGCAGAGTTGGGGGTGTCTGAGGAGGATGGAGAACGTGTCCACTGTTACGACAGGGCCTTGGTAGCCTGCTGTACGGAGTTTAGCGCGCGCGGTGTGCACGGCGTTTACTACGTCTTGCGGGTTTTGGCCTTTGTTGACGAGTTCGTTGCCGATACTGATTGTGTGGAAGATGGACCAGTCACCTGCTGCAGCAGAGATGATTTGGTCGAGGCTGCTTGGGAAGTCCTGCAGGTCAAAGAGGCCAGCGAAGACGCGGAGGTTGCGTTGACGGGCTGCGGATACGATATTTTTGGTCTGGTCGCAGTCGACGCCGTAGATACGGACGTAGCTGTAATCTGTGCTTATCTTGTCCAGGTCTTCGTTAATTCTATCGACGGATCGGCAGGTGCCGTCATTGTTGTAGGGGGCGTAGGAGATGCCATATCCGCCTTCTATTGGCAGACTAGGTACCAGGTCGGGTGTGGCTGGATCAGGTATTGGTAGCAAGGGTGGGAGGTTGTTGAGATCGACATTGTTGGGGAGTTTATGGTAGTCTGCCTCTCCTGAAGGTGGTGCTGGATCACTCTGATCTAGACTTTCTAGCACGCAGTAGATCAGCATACAGAGCCTATCTGTAGAGCGAATAGCCCATTTCTGTCGAACTGTTTCTTTTCTCATGTAGCACAAGTGGAACTTACCACGAGGAAGTGCCTTGACTTGGAGGCTGAGCAGGAGCACGGCAAGGACACATACAAGCCACTTCATGGCGATCGAACTCGCACCTTGGATTAAGGGACCTTTCAGATGGAACCCGTGGGGTGACTTGATCCGGAAAATAGCGGGTAATAGAAGGAGACAATCGGCTATAAGAGCATTTTGAACCTGAGATTAGCAGAAAACCCCAGGTAGATAATCGTCTATTGAGTGAAGGAAGAGTGGGACAGTCGACCCCGGAATGAATTGTTCCACCGACATTCACTGGGCTGTGGCTGGTAAAATATTTGAGATGTCTAGGGACTATTGCCTCATTCCTGTGTTGGGTGAGAATGTCATAGGCTAATGGATGCTGGATATCTGGAATGCTGGCTCGCCCCTTGCCCTATATGAATCAAACCCCGCCGGATGTATCTCCAGGAATGCATGGCAGGCCCAGATCCATTCGCTCAAACGGCGTTCTCAGCATTGAGAAGATTCCAATCGTCAGTATGTGAGGCAACTGCCAAGGCCCTTATAGTCCCTATATTCTTTAGTGGATGAATGTGGCCTCTGCCATGCAGTGAAAGAGAGAAGTGATTGATATGATGCATAAGAATGGAATTAATATTATAACATGGTAGAAGTCTAATAACAGTCTGTCATTCTGAGACAGAAGTCTTGGGAAGGAATGAAGGGAAAATAATATTAGTAGGGGACCAAGAAATTAGGGGAAGTATCTCATCAGGGTGGAAGAAATAACGGTTCCTGCATCATGCCGGATACCCCTTCAGTGGCCCCATCCCAATTTCCGTGTACTAGTTGTGGCAAGCATGCTGTCCACTTTGCAGGTATGCTGTACAAAACCAGTGTAAGTAAAAATTGTACAAGGTGTGAATATGATAAACAAGGCATAGCGTAATGGATCGAGAGGGCATCAATTTTCGTGGCCGAGTCCTTCTAAAAATCCGGAAAACGTAAGGGTTACTTCTTTTTGCTCAGAACTTTCGTGATAGCATGACGGATAATGGTTCCAGCTTTTTCGATCTCCTTTTTCGTCAAACCGGTCGTCACGCAGACTTTCAATGCTGGGGAAACGACCTGCTTGGGCTCAAAGTTGTCTGGGAGGGTCTTGAGGCGGGTGATTAAGACACCATTTGCAAGGCACTGCGTCGTAAAAGTTAACAATTAACAAGCTATCACATTCGCTGGGAAACCCGTACCTCATCGACCACATCTTGCAGCAGAAATTGCTGGTCTTCAACCGACAGCCTCTTAGCAGCAACCACTTCAGGCTTGAGGACCAGAATCATGATAGGATTCTCGGGAGCACTGGTACAGTATACCCAATCACTACGGGGGTCGAGCTGTGCCCACATGACCTTGGTATGCTCCCGCAGCTGGGATATCGTTTCAGGGCTATTCTGAAGGAGATTAATTGTGGCACTGGCAGTTGTCGACAGAAGAGCAGGCAGTGCTGCAGAAAATGTGTAAGCCGCGGCGGAAATGCGTTGATGGTGAACGATCTCCTCCGAGCCAGCGCAAAAGCCTCCACCTGCAACCAAGGGGCCGGCCAGCGAGCCCACAATCATGTCAACTTCAGCCGCGTCAACATTCTGGTGCTCCGTGACACCACGACCGGTTCTCCCCAGGACGCCGAACGACCACGATTCATCGAGGATAAGTCGGAACTTGTACTTCAGCTTGAGCTCAATCTGTAATCCTTATTAGCTGTCGAGTTTGCCATGGCATGTAAAAGGACTGAGATGCACGTACAATCTTAGGCAGGTCAACCATGTCACCGTACGATTCAAACAAACCTTCTGTGATGATAAAACGTCTCGTGAGTGGTTTTCTAGCTTGTTCTTTGGTAACTTTGGCTAGCACCCTTTCCAGATCCTCCATGTCGTTATGTTCATACCACCGAACCATGCTACGAGAGATCTGAATGCCCTTGCGGATAGCAAAGTTCACGCCCTTATCCGCAACAATGATATCTCCACGTTTCGAGAACGCCGGGATAACACTTGAAATGGTGGAAAAGGCCTGGGAGTAGATGATACAAGATGCAGTGCCCAGGAACGAGGCAACGTCCGCCTCTGTCTTCATATGAACATCTTGAGTGCCGTAAAATCCTCGGGGCCCACAAGGGCCAACACCGTAATTGCGGAGAGTCTGGATGGCTTTCTCTTTGAGCGACTCGTTGGTATTAAAGTTGTAGAAGTTATAGGAGCCGAGGTTAACAACGGTTCGGCCATTGGCCAATTTCGACTTGGGGCCGACTGGACTACGAGCCGCCATGATGCATCAGCATTGACCAGAACAACAGGACATCTAATAGCAAGGGCATGTGAGAGGATAATTACCCAACAATCACCGTCCGCTTATCAACCTCCATCTCCTCTAAGACTGTGGGCTTTCCTACAAGCGGTTCTGGAGTCCACTCGTCTACCAAGTCGTCAATCTCATCCTCTGAGAGTTGAACCACGCCAGGTTTGGTCGAATACTTGGGGGCGAGCAAATAGCGAACCGCGAATAGAAATAGAAAGAGCTCGACTGCAGAGCGAATAGGATCATTTTGATAGCTGGACTTTACGTAGCGAAGAAAGATTGCGGAGCCCGGAACGCGATGGAAGAGGTCTGCAAGCTCATGGAGATACTCCGAAAGGAGACGCTGAGTCTCCTGGATATCCATGATGGGCAAGGTAACACAGCGCTCGCAGCGCAAGAGGGCGAAAAGGGGGAAGGGGATTCGAAATTTAGAGATATAAGAGCTTCGCGATCAAAGCCAAGCATTGACCGACGAAATCACGACGATGACCGTCTTGATGGAGGTGTCGCGGCCGCTGAGACTCCCGGCTGGATGGTCCAACACGGGAAGCACGTGATGCCGTGGATTTATCGGAAATCGCATTTGGGCCCTTCCGCAAGGCGCCGGCGGGAGGGAAATCCTGAGGCCCCGCCACGTTAGGGTAAGCGGCCCCAATACAAGTACGTACTGTATGTACGGATGGCTCCAGAGTACATCATCGAAGTCCACCCTGCAAATGCGATAATCAAGTCCGAACATTTTCAGCCAATCAGTCAACCTCAGGAGTGCGTCGATGATACGTGCACAATCAAGGTGCTCTACGCCCATGTCTGTACATCTACGAGAAGTTGGTCCTGTCACAGGAACAGACAGAAGTAGATAGAGAATGAAGGATAAATGTTTAGTAGGCCACAAAGGGAACAATACCAGAATTCGCAAGTCTAATGATCGCACATGAAACACACAACACCGTGAGAATACAGAAAACGATAAACAAGTATAATGCATTAAACTTAGGCGGCAACAGAGCTGCGCGCGCGAAGCTTCAAAAAAAGAAAGATTGAGGAAAAAGCAAATGTATGACACAGCAGCTACTTCAAGGCGCTGGCTACTTTATACAGCTCATTTTCATGAATCCGTTCAGAAACTAGAAAGGCAGCAAAGTGGAATTTCGGAAAGCAATTCTACCGCTAGTACGTAGCGGTGGCCAAAACCGACGCCGGGATCCCGCTCGAGGCACCTGGAAGTCCAACGCCGGTTAATTGTGAGATGGTGTTGTTGTGCTGTGCGTCAAGAGGTTGTAAGAGATCCATCGGAATGCTAGGCAGGCTAATGTTCAACTTGCGAACGACCAGCGGTGCGATAAGAAGAACGAGGAAGAGGAGCAACATCGCAAAGTAGAGGACTGCGAAGCGAACCACTCTTCTCTTACGAAGCTTAGACTGCTTCAAAGAGTAAATTGGAGGCCGGATTTGACGACTAAGATACGAGTCAGAAAACCATTGTAAATTAGGGGGATTCGTGGAGGTCAACTTACCTTGGGCGCAGCCAGAAAAGAATAACGGAGTGAAACTTATCAATGTAGGGAACACAGAGAGCAGGCAGCATGATAAAAAGAATCAAATGGCCAAGCACGAAGTCGCCAGCGAAATAGCCGAGCTCGGTGATCTTGCACAGGAATTCACGACCAGGCTGGGAAAGGGAGTGCCAGCCCATGCTGTACCACTTTCCAGTCCACCAGGCGATGTTGGATTGATCGTTCTTGAACTCACGAGTCAAGGCAAGTGAGATGATAAGCTTGTAGACGAAACGTTGGATTGCGGCAGCCGAGATCATACCCAACACACACCTAGGCCAAGACCAGCCCTCGAGGAAGAACATGACCTCGAAGATGACGAGGAGGATGATGACGGCAATGGCGTGCGCGATGGCGGCTAGCACCGCACCGAACCTCTTACAACACATGCTAAAGATCGGGCCCATACAGCATGCCATACCAAAGAACATACCAGCGACACCAGCGTTGATAGCGATGGGTCCGAAGGCCACAATTGCAATTCGGGCAATAGCATTCTTCGCCGACTTGTCCTTCTCCATAGTCCCTGTTCTAGAGTTGATAAAGAGGTACGGGATCAGGGTAACACCAACCAAAACCAAGGGTGCGACAATTTCGCTAAAAAAGATGTTGGTAATGCGAGCTCTGGGAACATCACCAGATCCCTTCTCAGACGGAACGCCCAGGAGCTTTCGCTTGTAACCCGTGATGCGAGTACGAGACAGTCGGCAAAAAGCGATCCAAGAAGACGCGTGAGACCGTGAGTTACCGCGAGAGAGCCAGCGAAGGTAATCACGGTAGTCAATAAAGAAGTCCTGCCAGGCGAATTGGTGAGGGTTGAAAAGGAAGGGCGAAATGCAAAGGGCAAGCAGCGAAACCCAGAACCAGATCAAAGCCGCACTCCATACGGTAGAGGTGGAGAAAAGGAGCATGAGCAATAATCGAGCACCGGCGTAGATGGAAGGGCCGGCGAAACGTGAGTACAGGACACCAAATGGAATACGAGCGGTTGCGAAACCACGGCCGGTACCAATATAACGAGCACCACCAAATGACAGGTTTTGATGGACAGCATTGGCGTAAATCTGACAGACAAAGACTTCGAACATGAACGAGAAAGAGCCGAAGTGTTTTGCGAGACGAGTGGCCATGCGCCAAACTCCTCTCTCTGTGAGCTCTTGGACCGCCAGTGGGACGAAAGAGATGAAGAAGACGATGAAGATGGAAATGACACAGCGGTTGACCCAGTCAATGACAGGCACAAGATTAGCACAGAAGGTCGGGCGAAGAGGGTCAGTGATCGGTACGTTCTTGTCATATTTGCATGTAATGGTCTCATGCTTCAGGGCTCCCAGATTGATCAGAACGATCATGAACATCTGCACAGAGAGCATAATGAACATGTTGTTCAAATGGAAACCAGGATGGGCGTAGTAGAAGGACAAAAACCGATCGAGAGGTAGCTGTGTACCCAGATAATAATACTCTCGAGACAGCATTTGCTCACCCATACCGGTACCAATCTTAGTTGTGAAGTTAAGAATGGAGCCAAAACCAAGATCACGACCCTTACCACACTGGAAGTATTCACAGTGCTTGATACGGCCACCACGGACCATAGCATTCATACCAGCATAAATATCTTCGTTCAGGTGAAGACCCTTCTGAGCTTTCGAAATACCACCGCGGGTGCACATGAAAATACCGTTGAGGAAATCAGGGTGACCGTAGTGCAGTTTACCGCCAACCTCGGCGAGTGTACGGGCGAAGAGGGTACCGAATGTTTGTTCCTTACTAGCGGCGACATCACCAAGGACACCAACATTCTCAGAGAAAATGTATTCACGAGCACCAAGAATAGCAACCGGGTTGGTCTCCGACGACGGGAGACCAGGAGTGTAAGGCGAGACGTTATCAGTTGTCAGTTCCTCAAACTCAGCAAGAACGCTACGAATCTTCAAACACTCCTCAAGGTAGTTGTCCTGGTTAGCGTCAATGACCTGAATGTATTCACCACGGTAGAAGATGATGGAGTGGTTCTGGTTGTCGGACTTGCCATCTCCCAGAATGGGGTTTCCAGACAACTGAATCCTGAACTTGGGCTTCCGCATTCCGTTCTCCAGAAGCTCGCAGTGTCCGTCAATCAAAGCCGAGTACAACCGGGGCTCATCGCCCTCATTCTCTGGCGCTTCCTCATCAAGGTAGGCAATTTGCAAATCGGGGTACGCACGGAGAAGGAATTCAGTGTTCTCACGTTCTTCCTTGTTGAACTTGGCATAACGCTGCATCGAAACACAGATTTTGAACTTGCGACGAGCCATTCTCTCCAGTTCGCGTTCCAGCTTCTCAGAGTTGCCACCGAACATTTGCACAACTTCGGGATTCTCAACTCGGTAAAGCAGTTTAATAGCACGGCTGTAGTTCATAAAACCAGAAATAGTTCTGTACAGTGTCTGCGAGCGCAAGGAAGACCAAATACGCGTGCGAAGAGTGTATTCCGGAGCGGCTGACTTGAAACCAATGCAGTAGAAGGGAAGATCATCAATCTTACTCTTGGCCACATCCTTGTCCGTCTTCTCGGTTTCGCCATTGAATTGGGAGGTTTCATCTGCAAGAATCTTGGTGTCCTTGACGAAACAATCCCATTCATGAGGGTGCAGCTGCTTGAGGTACTCTAGCAGAGTAACACGAGAGTAAGGCTCATCTTCACGGATAATCTCACGGAGCGACAGAAGAATCTTCTCGCTGTAGTGGGGGATTAGGACTGTGAAAGTAGGCATGTTGTCGACAGGCAAAGGCTCGGGCATAGGAGTAGACAGGGACTGCGCGAAGAAAGAGATACGGCGCTCAGCTTCGCTTCCAGGTGGGAAGAATTCAGTCTTGAAAGACTGATCTTCTTGGGATACGAAGAAAGTTGGGGCACGCAGAGTCCGTTTACCCTCTTGCTCAGAAGGAACCTGATGGTACAAGAGCTTCTGGACATGGTCAATAGCCAGAAGATGTTCGCGATACATAGAAATGATAATTGCGTTCCAAACTTGCGAGATAAGAACCTTTGGTTTGTACTTGATCTCCATGTCCGTGGTTGCAAGAACCTTGGAGTAGATACGCTTCGGGAGGCGAGAGAAGATGTTCCTCCAGGGCGACCAGATAGAAACACCGAGGTAGAAAGACCTTGCAACAGAGAAAACTGTGTTGCAAATAATATACCACAGGTAACTATCCAGGAAGAAAAGCGTCAAATCCATGAAGAACATCAAGCCGAGCAAAATTTGAGGCTGACGGTAGCACAGCACAGTTCCAATGTATTGGACACCAGAGCACCGCTGGATCTGCATCGGAGAAAGAATACGGATGGGATCCTTGAAGGACAGAGTCAAGAAGAAATAAGACTCGGCTAACTTTGCTCCAAAAACACAAACCCAAAGACCATAGGACATCCACATGTCATTGCCCTGGAGACGTGCCCAGCTGGCAGTGAATGTCTGACTAGCAACATATTGGCGACCATGTTTCTTCAAATAGCTACCGAACAAACCACCAAGCGGCATGACGGAAAAGAAGAAGAAGGTCACCAGAGCAATGATGAAATGAACGATACCAATAACAAGGGCAATTGTTTCGCCGATCTCCTTCTTGAAGCCGAAAACAACTACACCCGGAGCCAGGTTGATGATAAACATCAACAGAAGGAACATTAGACGCTTGGTCAGGTGCTGAGCACCAGCCCACCGTCGCGGGACGTACATCCATTCACAAATAGTAGCGAATATCTGAATGAAACAGGCCAGAGCACCACCGAAGCCGACAGCAGACCAGTAGTAAGAACCGGGTGGCTTGTTGTTCAGCTGCTGCTGGTAGTTTTTGGTGTACAGAGTTGGGGCGTTGTACGCCGTGAAGAACCAGAAAGAACACAAATGAATGACCCAGATACGGTTGAAGTTCGTGACCATATGGAACCAAGATCTGGTTTCCCTGTACGTCTTGAAGAACACCTTCTTCCAGTCAACTTCCTTCAGCTTAAT